TTGCAAACCAATGATGGTAAGATGATGTCATGGGGTAGGACTAGATAAGTCTGACTTCTTCCTACTCCATTCAAGCATGTACTAGGTATAAGCAAATTGATATTGGATTTTTTTGTAAAATTATGTGTGTTGTCATATCAACTGTTTTACATGCTTGAAAGAATAAATCAAATCAAATCAAAGGCGATTATCCTGAACTGAGCATAATGTCATACTGTCCACCATGTCTTGAACTGATTAGCGATACCAGCAGTAAAATGACAATTGACAATGACAGTGCTTGACAATATAGAAAAAATTGCAAATTTTTCTTTTGCGAAAGAAAAGAAAATCTTAGCTGTCAAATAAAAGGAACACAAATTTGTTGTAGAGTTGTAGCAACATCTGGGTTAAACGTACAACATAATCATCTGTGCTTACACTGATGCTTCCGAGTGTTTTTGTCCAGGTGTGGGTGTGTTGGGAGGTCAGCTGTATGCAGCAGGAGGACATGATGGACCTCTGGTGAGGAAGAGTGTGGAGGTGTACGACCCACAGACCAACACCTGGAAGCCGGTCTGTGACATGAACATGTGCAGACGAAATGCAGGTCAGATAAAAACCACAGACACACGCCATCCTTTAACCAAGTTTTGACAAATGGTTTTGGAAGGTTTTAAGAAATTCATTGACTGTTTATACAGAAGCTATGGAAGGTTTGTAATTTAAAAGACTTCAAATAATTTGGGATCACCAATGACAGTCATCGCTCCTGAATTTTTTTTTATCCTTGAGGTTCTAGAAACATTTAATCATAAATGAAAGAAATTTATTTCGGTCTGTATAACTATAGAAATGTGACAGAGATGCACTATTACTAACAATTTCCTAAGACATAATAAAAAGAAAACAGAAATAATGTCCCATCATACTTTTCCTGAACTGTAATAATTGGGGATAAACATCATGACTAAAAAGAAAAGTTCAAATGCAGGTAAATGCACAGGGTTGTTAAATGTGTGCAATTCTCACTTAGGTGTGTGTGCGATTAACGGGCTGCTGTATGTGATTGGCGGAGACGACGGGTCCTGTAACCTTTCCTCAGTAGAGTTTTACAACCCGGCAGCAGACAAGTGGAGCCTCATTCCCACCAACATGAGCAATGGGCGCAGTTACGCTGGTGAGTCTCAGCTGCTCATGCCACAGGCAGCATTTCTTTGTCACACAGACGCACAAATAAAATAATAAGTTATATAGCACGTTTGGAAAAACAAGTTACAAAGTACTTTACCAAGACATAAAAGAAAAATTACAAGGTAAATGTGAAATAAAAATGGCAACAATACGGTAACAATAATATAATGCGGTGAAAACCTAATTGCAACATGAAACAGTGAAACAAGAGAATGTAGAAAAGAGTTTTAAAAGAGGAAACCGAGCTGAACTGGCTAGTCTCCTCTAGAAGGTTGTTCCAGAGCCGAGGGGCCAAAGGCTCAGTCTCCTCTGGTTTTTAGCTTTGACCTAGAAATTAGTGGCCGAGGATTTCAGCTTGCTCGAAATGTTATTGGGGCCAACCCCAACTGTGCCTTAAAAGTTATTGGTAAAATTTTTAAATCTATACAAGGACACACAGATGACCGCTGTAGGGATGCAGGTTGCTGTGACATGGGTCATTGAAACTGATGTGGTGTTTCTGAAATGGAGAATATTACAGGACTGAGCCTTGAGGCACCCCAAAGCAGTCTGGTCTGCACTGGCTGAGTCTTCACATTTGACCTGTTTATGTTGCCATTTCTCTCTTATTGTTTGCCATTTTCCCGTTTATCCAGGAGTTGCAGTGATTGACAAGCCATTATGACCACAGGCCTCTCACAGCATCACCTCTGCATCGGCAGCTTGACAGGCAAACGGAGAAGTAATGCCTGAGATGAACACTGTCCAAACGGGCGGCACACCCTCGTTCCTCAGCAGACACAATCACAGAAGGATCTTGGAGTCTTTTTTTTTAGCAATAACCCACAACCTAATTTTGTTGCTGTCTCCAAGCCATTAATGCCCTGAGAGACCCTCACGTTTATGGACATTGTTGCACTGGATAAGAAGCAATAGCTGCAGATGAGCAGGCTTATAAGAACTCTGTCTTAATGAGATGTTTTCAAATGCCAAACATATAACAAGCAGCTGCATCAGCTGACTTAAGACTGATTGTAAAAAACTTTGTTAGGAAGGAACTAACAAAGATGGGCCAAACGGAGTGAAGCGCTCTAGAAGCTCTGTGGCGACGTTCATGTGGCGGACCACATCGCACCTGGGGCACTGATTTGCTTTAAAACACCAGCTGACAGAAACATCCCCTCAGTCAAATGACTGCACAAGCATAAAGCTAGATTTCAGGCAAACAGGCTGCTTACAGTATCTCTGGCGTTACTTCAGGACATTGCAACACTGGCCTGTCATTAGCAGTTATCCCAAATCATGGAAACTTGGAAATGCCACTGGAGCCATTTTTAAAATTATGAGACTTACCACAGTTCCTAGAATATAAATCGGCTTGATTTTGAGAAATGAAGAAAGCTGTTTGATTCCTGTGTTGCCCATCAGCAGCCTCCACTAAATGAACATCAGTTTTCCTCAGAGTTGTGGTGTTGGGTGGTTAGAAATATGCCTCAGTTACCAGAGAGTATTTGTTTGCAGCCTGAAGAACTGACCTGAAAGTGAGAAATCATCTTGTATGCAAATGAAATATCATGTTTAATATTTGAGATTCTTCCAGAGAAGCTGAGAAGCACGTCTGTGGCGTCAGACCCAGGCCAGCTGATCTGACTGGACATGGTAGGACTTGATTCTGTCAGCACACTACTGATGCACTGATCACTTGCACTGACTGATACAGACTTGCAGGCTGAATGAGTGACTCACTGACTGACTGGCTGGCCAAACGTCTACCCCCACCACTGACTGACCAGCTGGGTCACTGGCCTGCTGTCTGATCCTACATATGGGAGCATTTAAACTCAACACTTTAAAGGCCAATAATTAAATCAGAAATTGTAAAAAAAAAAGAAATGTGTCAGTGTGATAATCAGAAAAATGCTGGAGATGCTTTTATCACTAACAACCTGAAGTGATGTACGGTTTCTGTTCATTGGCTAAAGGAGTGTGTTAACATGCACTGTAGAAATTCAGCTGTAAAAGTAGAATGTAATAGATGCATTTTTAAGATTTTCTATTTATTGTTTTGGAACAGTTGATCACCACATTTATTCATATTAAGGGGAGGATCATAAAACTTTTTTTCAGCCTAATAATGTTACACTTTCTCTGTTCACCTTCATCCATCTGAGGATGGGTTTATTTTAACTGTAGTTATTTAGCAGACTGACTGGTGCCACAGCTGTGATTCTGGAAAGAAACCAGATTTATTTATTTATTTTTTTTTCTCTTTTAGCCAGTCTTCTAAAGAATCATGGAGAAACTGGACATGGTCTGCTGTCACTTCATAGACCTCTGACGTACCTAAGAGACCATACTGTTGTTTTTACATGTTTGGACAGTTTACAAGTCACAGGTGCTACATGAGTCCCATCCACGTTACAGATCAGTCATTCATTATGTGGCTTAATGAATGTTTTCCAGAATGATGTTGTTGTTGTTGTTGTTGTTTCCGTTTCCGTTTCCGTTCATGTTAACACCGTGTCAGTTTTAGCTTGATAATGCAAGTGACCCGTCAGTAGATGTTCCTGTGTGAGGGAAAAGCTCACATTGCTGCCAAATAGACGGGATCTGCAGTGTTGAGTCAGAAAATAGTGAAAAATGCCTGTCTTTATTTCCTTAAGCCCAAGATGGTGCAATAAAATGTCCGGTTTTGTCCAAACAGTCCTAAAACCTAAAGATAGTCACACAAAGAAAAGCAGCAAATCTTCACAGATGAGTAAAATGATTCAAGCTGCTTACAGATTATTTTTCTGTGGGCCGAGTGAATAATCAACTGATTGTTTGCTGGTCTTAAAGATAAGAGCTACCTACAGTTTGCTGTCATGAGTCGCTCGTCTCAAACTAATTTCAGGTCCCTGTTCGCTGATGATCATATTGTTCTGAACAAAATGAAAACCCGTGTCTGCCTGGACTGTGGGAATAAAAGCTGATCAGCAATGAGTTGTACTATATGCAGTTTGTTGTAGAGGAACTGAAACATGGAAAAACAGCAGTATGGTTGATGTTCAAGGTCTGTTCTTGAGCTTTGAGCCAGACGGTCTCATGTCAAGCTCTACTACAGCTTCTCCTGGGATTTTGACCAAATCACATTAGCAAACTGAGTTTGCTCAGTTATGGAGCTGTTCAAACCTCAGCTGGTGACAACTTGGTCAAAAGCTCTGGAGGAGCCACTACATGGAGCTTGAGGCGGTGTTGTGGTCCTGAAGTTTTCGGATGAATAGCAGATGTTATATTTTTAATATAAACAGTGGATGTTGTCAACTAAACTGTTGCTGTTGTGAGTTTTTAACTGATGTGTTTGCAGGTGAAGCTCTTGTGCTTGTGTAAACTGACATGACGTTATGTCACACAGGCTTACTCTGCTCCAAACTGACTCGTGCTTTGTCTGAAATTGTAAAGTTATGCTTTGAGCGCTTTAGATATTTTGTATGACATCAACATGTTTGTGTTGAATGGACAGACAAACTGGGATTTTCCTTCAAGGCCACTGCAGACAGAGGTTTTGTTTGACTCCCAGCTGAACAGCACATCCTCTGTCAGGTGGAGTGGTTCTTCTGCTCATTGTGAGCCAAGCCTGCAGCAGGTTCCTTTATACAGATGTACACGGAGCGTGTGCATGGACTGCGCCGCTGGAGTCTGCAGGGTTAAGGTTTGTAGTGTCGCCTTTTGGGGTCTCTGATAACTGATAAACTGCAGATTATAGCTCAACAAAGATGATTTGATGGAAAAGGGCATATTACACCCAGTTATTGTCAGCCATCAAGTCAAATTATACCTTAAGTAAAAAAGGTTCCTATTTTTAAATATATTAGAAATATTTAGTTGTTATCATTGAACCTGTTACCTGTTTAGTCCAGACACCACATTATCAAACATCAGTTTTGCATCTGTGTGGAAGGAGGTTCACTGACCTTTTAAAGGCATTTCCATACTAGTGGATGTGATTTAATTTAATTTTTTAATTTTTCATACATTATGTTTTATGCCTCTGGCGCCGGCACTAGCCGCAGCCAGAGGTATTATGTTTTTCGGGTTCTCCGTCAGTACGGCCCATTCTTGTGAACCCAATATCTCAGGAACACCTTTACAAGTGTCCACTTCAGCTCAGTAATGATCTGGTTAGATTTTGGTGGTCAAAGGTCAGTGACCTCACTTCTGTCCCATACTCGTGAATTTGACAGGTTGGCGGAGGCATTTGGCCACAAAGCCGTTATTCTAGTTTCATTAATTAGGAGACTAAAGAGAAAAGAAACATTCTTTTAATTTTAAAAAGGCTGTGAATTGTTTCGTCACATGGGAAATGATTCAAGTATTCAGCAGTGATGGTGGAATGTTACCTGGAACATTTAAACTGGTTTAGTGCAATTTTGAAGGATATACTGGTTTTTTTTACCATGTACAGTATGTCACTCTCAAAGTGGATACTCTCTACAGGGAGTGCTTTTAATAGTTGAAGTACATTTTGCTGATGATACTTTTGTAGTAGTACTTAAGAAAAATTTTGAACACAGAACATTTACTTGTAAGAGCACTTTTACAGAGTAGTATTACTACTTAAGCAAATAATCTGAGTACTACTTCTGCCGCTGTTCAGTGATGAGATGTAACCACGTACTGGACAGTTTTGAGACTCCTGTGCTTTACGTGAATATTTCCAGATGTAACTACTGCACTTGTAGCTAGTTTTACAGTAACTACACTAAGTACAGTGAGTATAGTGTGTGTGTATATATGTAAACTAGAATGTTATTATAGCAGTAAGACTATTGATCACCTGGTGGGGAAATCACAAGCTAACAAGTAGAATGTAAAGTAAATAAATGTAGCGCCACCTTTAGGAGACATACACAGTAATAATTATAATGCCTTGTGTATAAAGGTTTTTGAAATGTGTCATTCTGTAACATGAGTACTTTTTATTTTTGGTACCTTAGTACTTTTGGACCTTTACTCAATGGTGGAAGAAGTACTCAGGCTGTACACTTCAGTAACAATATCACAGAGTAAAAATACTGTTACAAGTCAAAATGTAGTAAAAGTAAAGTTACTCACTATGCCAAAATGTATTTAAAGTAGTAAAAGTAAAGTTACTCACTATGCAGAATGGCAGCTTTCATATTCACGTATTTCACATTGATGGACTAATTATTGTATCATTGTGTTCATCACTTTAATGTCACAGGTGAAGCTGAAGGTGAAGCTGATGTTCACTACCTTGTGTACTTATATTTGCTTGTATTGAAGTAAAAGAATGGAACAGGAGAAAATAGAATATAGGCTACTCAAGTCAAGTACACATACCTCAAAATTGTTCCTCAGTACTTGAGTAAAAGTACTTTCCATCACTGCACTTCTGTACTTCCTCCTGCACCGGCTGCAGTGAGATGTGGGCGTGGTCTGTGATGTACGACGGACACGCTCACTAAGGTGGGCGTGGTCTGTGACGTGTGCCTGACAGGTGGAATCAATTGGCACCTTGCGGGCAGCTGCACCATGAGCAGGAGGAAGGTTTTGTTTAGGTTTATTTCTCACAGTTTAAACCCCCAAAAACACTTTAGTGACTGAGAAAATACATTTCTGTTCAGTTGACGTTTCAAAAGAGGACTTTTTACAGAACAACGACGTGTGTCAGCAACAGGTGAGTTCCTCTCGGTTCACCTTCAATTTAGTGACTCTCCTCGGCGGCTTGCGCAGGCAGCTGCTTGTCTTCACTAAAGTCACGTCTCCCAGTTCCTGTCTTAAAACACAGTTGTGGCAATTATGGGCTTGTTTTACAAGGCTGCACTTTGTTTGCCAGCTCAGGGGGAAAGTCACATCTCCGAGCCACTTGCTGTCAGAGGGCGTTTGCCATGTAACGTAGTATTACTCCATCCCAGAAGTAGCCTACTGGTAGGTAGGCTGCAACCAGCATTACCAATACACCTAGAACTTATTTCTCTTCAATAGCTATTGATTAGTTTGAGTAGCCTGCTAAATGTCTCATTATTCTAAGTTAACGTTCAGCTTATTCAGGAGTTTGTACCAGTGAATTATTGGCTTTTTTACTTTATGAAATGTTGCACTGAAACAAATGGAATTCACTGCAACACTTCCGCCTTAACATTTGTGTTTATGAAGCTCAAAAGTTTAGTTTTTGGTGGAATTTTCATAAATGTATAGATTGGATTATATGTTTATTATTGCGGCCATAGTTAAAGGTGGTGTTGTACTGGACTGCATTATATTTAGAAGTGTCAGAATATTAGGAACAGTAGTCCAGTAGAACACCACCATATATAATAACAAATAAAAAAACACATTTTAGATGATGCTGATGCTTGAAAATGTGCAGCTTGTTTTGTAATTTTATGGCAAATGCATTTTAAGGGCTTTTATTTTTATTTTTTCGGTCTGTTTTTGGCGACGAAGCTTTTCTATTATATCTTGTTTAAATGTGTGGTGTTCACTCTTTCTGCTGTTGGTTACAGTTGTAGTTTTCCCCGCATTGTTCTTAGTCAGTTGTCATAGCTTTAAATCACAGGCCAATGATTTGACAACAGGCTCACGGTGCTGGATGAAGCTGTTTACTGTAGCTGATGCTCCATTTGTGCAGAACATTTTAAGAAAGCTGCTGCATGTCAAGTGTAATTTAGAAACAGTAGGTGAGTTAAACTTTAGTCTGGACTGCTGGTGTCCACTAGAGGGCGCTGACTACTCATCACTGTGTTGCAGATTATGGGAAAGCGTTTAATTGGATCAGTATTATAAATACTGTTTAATTTGATGTAAATGGAAGCATCTTTATAATATGAGGTTTTACAAAGTAAAGAGGTCAGAGGCCAAAAAATTGCATTTGCTTTTGAAAATATGAGCACAAAAGAAAATCAAACCACTGTCAAACTGGAAATGAGAATTTGCAACATAATTGACTTGTGTATCCAAAGTTAAAGTACTCATTATGTAGACTGATCCCTGGCTTTATAACTGATCATTTTTATTTCTATATTAATATCTAAGTGGTAGTTTAATGCTGTAGTTAGTCAAAGTGGAGCTCAGTGTTGGTATAATGTGTAACAGCACGGTAGCTGTGTGTGTGTGTGTGTGTGTGTGTGGAACATCTTAATCTGCAAACTAAAGTCAAATGTAGCACAGTAAAATAAAGTCGTACAGTAGAGTAGAAAAATAATGTAAAATACCTGAAAGGAAGTTCTTTACTTTTATTTTCTAGCGCTGAGGTGGTAAATTACTAGTAACTGTATTTACTCCAAGTGTGAAAGATGTTTCGTCAGTGGGATCAACTTGACTAAAACTCAAAACACTGTGACAGACACAGATTATTAAGTTTGATGCCAAGTAGCAGGACTTTAGAAGTACACAAGAGATTTAATGAACTAAAAGTGTGCTGGTGGAGAAACGTGGAAAAAAAAAAAAACAGTCTCGAAAATCATGACCGTCTGTCAAACAACCCAACTTTATTGGCAAAGACAAACTGTGGCTGCATGTTAACACTGAGTTTTTAATTTTCATTTAATTAAGCAAATACAGTATTTTGTACCATTGTGAAATTGAGCCAGTGGTGACAGGAAAACCGTTGTTAGGCAAACATGGATATTTATGCCATTATGCTGATACAATATTACAAATGTTTCTAATTGTTTAAACATATTTGACCTCTGTCATGTAAACATTAGTGGCGACTTTAGCTGTTAGAGAAATAATGTTTATTTTTCATATTTATTTCAAAGCTGCAACTGATTCTTTTCATTACTAATACATTTTTCTTGCTTTTCATTATAAAACGTCAAAAATAGTGAAAATGCATTTTCAATTTAAAAAAATGTCAAAATGTTGTTTTAACTGACCAAAACCCCAAAATATTCAGTTTGCTGTCACTGATGACAAAAAAAAAAAATGCATCGTTAAAAAAACCTGGAACCGATTGACCATCAAAATAGTTGCTGATTAATTTTGTTTTTGCAGTTTTGACTTATTTAAACCTTTTTTATAAAGTTGTTTGCCAGAGCCATACTTGGTTTTTACACCATGTTCTGCTGAGTTTGTTTGCCTGAAGGAAAAGGATGGATGTGGTGAGTGGGTTGACTTTTATTGTAACCGAGTGTATTTTCTCATCCATTTTGTTAATGAAGAAACAGAAAAAAACACTTGCAAAGTCAAAGGAGTTACAGCTACATACATATAGTATATTGATAGTATCACATATGGACCACCTGGAGGAACAGAGGGAGCGGTTTACAGCTCGTCCCTCTCGAGGTCCTCTCCGGTTGGAGGAATCTGTAGCACAAACGTGTCGTGGAGGATGTAAACTCCAACAGGACTGGAGCTGTGATTGTAGAGGTCTGAACACAGCTCATCTGTTTCATTGTCATCCTTTTCATCTTAAGGTTTTAATTTACCGACAAATCCTATATTAAATGTTTTCTGTTGCTATTTTGACAAACAAAACAAACTGATCTTTGTTTTTATTTCCAGGAGGAGCGATGAGACGTCTTTGACAGCGACTTGTGCTGCAGATCCCAGGTCTGTGAAGCAGCCGTGCATGATGGGTAAGTGTGAAAGAAATCGCAACGAGACAATCTATTTACAGTTTACAACATGTGAATTTTACCATGTTGCTGGCACAATGTAAACAAAGTCGATTTTAAGGAACTGAGGCGTTAAACAAAATCGACTTGTTCAACAGGTTTACATGAAAAAGTAAAACCTCAAAGAAAAGTCCTTCAGTGATCAATGAGTCGTTTCCACTTTAAATGATAAAATGCAGATTATATTTTGGTTTGTCAGACATGAACGTTATGCCAACAACAGTGGTAAAACAGTCGGAGCAGAGTGTCAGGCTGAAAACAGACTAGACAACCCTTCAAATGTCCAGCCCATCGTTACCAGTGAGCCGATACTGTGAAACCTCCACAAACTTTTATTATTGCTGCTTCGTCATGGCACAAATAATAGAAACAATACATCATGTTTTTCATACTATTGTTTGCCATGCAAGCCCACTACAGTACTGCTTCAAATGTAGCTTATATTACACAGAGCGACAACATGAATCACACAGTGCCCGACTAACTTCTACAGCGTTTGACAGTTAGTGAGTAGATGTAAGAGGATTACTGTCATTATCACAATAATGGTTCAGACAGTAAAAGCATAATTTAGAATAATATAAAAGATGGCATTACAAATACAATTAACTAAAGGGGGCCAAATGTAATGGTTCAAATAATTTAACTTTACGAAATTCATTCCTTTGGGTGAATTTTTTTTTTTTTTTTTGTACACTATATATTTGTATAGAAGTAGTGCTTCATGTTTAGAATACAGGGAAAAACAAGGGCTGCATTCTGTGAATGCTGTGCAAATAACTTCTACATCAAATCCCCTCCCTTCATCCCCCCCCCCCCCCCCCGCGC